TCCAGCCATCCATGACAGTTTTGGTTCCATTTATTCAAGTTTTGATATATCTTTTCTGACAGCAGTATGATGGAGGAGAATTAAGTCTTGTTTCTGGTGCTCACAGCTTTTAAAAATAACATTTTAGAAATTCAGCAGCTGTATCCCTCTCCAGAAGCAGTCTCCCTATTACTCTAGATAATCCACAGATATCACTGTCAACCATTTTCAGAACTACCAAAGAAAATAGTCCCTCTAAAAACTGTTGACAGTTTTGCGTGAGTGTTCAGTGGATTGTAAAGTGATGCTGCTGTTAAATTTTTCAGTCTTCAGCGTCCCAAATCTCAGAGACATATATCTCTAAATCTGGATAAAATAAACCATAACTATCTGGAAGGATAGATCCCACTGGTGGTAAGTAAAGCAGCCAGTTTCTCTGATGCATGCAGGTATTATGCTTTCACTGTGCCCAAAGTTAACTTCCCTCACTGAACTCTTTGCTGTCAGTGTTTACTTAGTGTCAGACAAACCACAGTCAAGAAATCAGGATGTCTGCCATCGATGGCACAGAAACCTCCAGATGAAGACGGGTTGCCATGGGGACTGCTGCCAAGCGGGGGCCCAAACGGTCCTCTGAGAGAGGCAGAGAGACCTAGCACGTCGAGGCAGGTCATTCATCAGCAGAGACAAAGCGAAGGAAACGACAAGACCAGCTTAGACCATTAACAGCCTGCCAGACATGCACGCACGCACGCACGCACACACACACACACGCGCACACACACACACACACACACACACACACACACACACACACACAGCACAGTATTATACAAACACTTAAAAACAGTCACGAGGAAGGAAAAAAAAAAATTAGTTTAGTCTTTCATGCCGTCATAAACAAAAAGTCAAAAGTTGAAAGAGTTATTTTGCCTGCTTTGTGGCACAAAAAGTTTTGGAACAACAAATTGAGTTTGCAAGCCAGTCAATCTGCAGCAAACGAGAAGGAGAAAATACTGTATATTGGACGGTAACAAGGTCCAAAACAAGTGGGAAGACTGTGACAGAGAGATGATTTATAGGTTTAATGATAGTGCACATTATTTATTCTGGATTTCCTTCCTCCTAACAATTCTTTTTTTCTCAGCTACCGTTCCCTCGGCATCAAGCGATCAACAAACAGAAAGCAGCATCTCTCCAACACAAACACAGAACAGGCAGCTCGGCATCAACACATAGCTGAAGCCGCTCTTTTATCTACAGTCAAAGCCATATAAAGAACGTAATCCCTTGTGTATGCCTGCCATCCACACATTAGCACACAGAGATGTAATTATAGTGTTACTCTGTGTGTGTTTGTGTCTAATTGGTGTTATTTACATTTTCCCTCTTTTTTTTCCTCTCTTCTGTGGGTGTGTGCGCATGTGCTTGTATGTCACCCAGCCAGTATTTCAGCCTGTGTTTAAGGTTTGTGTATATCAGGATAACCGTCGTCAAGCGTTAACACGAAAATGAAAGATGGAAAAAGGGATCTTAAAGGAGGATGAGACACACCCCCTCTCCAATCCTTTGCCAGGGTTTCCTCAGCTCCCCTGTAGTGCAGGTACTACCACACCCTTCCCTCCTCCCTCCTCCCTCTCGATACCTCCTGGGGAGATACACAAGGGAAAACCTCTCCTAACTGTCCCCTCACCCCACCACGTAATACTGCACATTAGCCCTTAATGAAAGCAACACCCCTTTCAAACAAGCCTGTGTTGTTGCCGGCATTTGTTTGTGGCAGCAACAAGCAACACGGTAATCAAAAACCGCAAAATACCCCTTCGCCTCCTCCGCTCCCCCAACCCCCCATCCTGAGCCCAAACCAGATGCTATTCCCCGGGGCCAGCTATCAGGCTCTGCACTCCTCCGACTCCTCTCACCTATCCTCTCTTTTTTCCACCATCCTGCCATCCTTCCTTCCTCCTGCTCTCCCACTGTGAAAAGACACTAATTACAGACATGGATGAGTAGATTACAGATCTGAAGTGCAGTGGAAGTGGGATGAGGAGAAGTCAGGGGTGGTGGGCTGGGGGGCAACAGGTCGTTAACAGTGATGAATGCAACTCTATTTTCACTGTTATTGTTCACTGATGTTCTGTGCTGCGCCTCTCACCTCTGCGCCGCCGGTTCCCATACCTTCTCGTCAGTGCCATCCATCACAGGCAGCTTTAACTAACTCTAACTATCTCTAATCATCTCTAATCAATTCCAATTATCTCTCCTCTGCCGCTCATGCATCATTGTCTCTGGTATCTCTCGTGCATGGGAAGAGACAGAGGAGCAGGGGTGCAGATAAAGAGGTAGGCTCTCAAAACGGAGAGCAGTAATATATACTTGCACTACCTCAGCTCTGTTTTGCACATGAAACAAAGAATACATTACATTTTCAACCAATTTAGGTTCAAGCAAAAGTTAAAAAAGTTATTATATCTACACATTAATTTGTTCTCTTTTTTTCCTATTAGAAGGTTTTAGTGAAGTCAATAGAAAACAGTGCCATTTTTCAAAATCCGCGTACTAGTAAAAACACTTGCATTAACTCTCCATCTTCCCTTTGTAGTGAAAACTCATTACCCCATTAGTTTAATGGCTGCATGGGAGTCAAGTGTTTGAAAACTCCCCACAAAACAACACTCCATTGCTCATTTAACCGACAGCCTTTTTATTAACCCAGCTAGCTTTTCCTCTAAAGTTTAATGAGAGCAACGATCTCATCTGCCATCCCTCCCTCCTCTATCCCCGACGTCCTTCTTTCTGTTTGTCCTCTCAGCGGGGTGTCTAAGACAAATAGCCACTTTGTTATACAAGCTTTTCCTCGAGCCCTCACTCCAGAATGAGCAAAGAGAGAAAGAGCGAGAGGAAGAGTGTAAAAAGTACAAGAAAAGGAGAAGGGGGACAATTAATCCTGCATCCATGAGGACAGAAACCATCTGGGTTAGTGCTCCACCTGAGGGCAGCGGGGTTTCACATTAACCCTCTTGTTAGGATCATAAAGGCAGACCCTAACAAGCCCTGGTAAGAACTTTGAGCAAGTGTAAAGAAACACACGCATACAGACGCAACCATAGACTCTCATTCTCTCTGTCTCTCTCTCTGTCATGATCAGACACACACACACACACACACACACACACACAAATGCTGAAATGAAATAGCGGCAAAAGTCTTCCTCTGGGAGCTGAGAACCTTTTAAGTCCATTAAAAGCTGCTGGCGGGAGCGAGACAAGGCTGTAACCTAACCGCATCAGACTGGAACCAGAACTTACGGTGTGGCCCAGACACACCGCTCAGGAGTTAAGAAACACATTAGGAAAAACCTTTGTCTTCTACTGTTGGTCCGGATCCCACGCTACTAGACCTAATTTTTTTTACAAGCACTAAAAGTCTTTCATAAAGTAGTATCTATCAGTCAAACACAGGCACCATAAAGATTGCATTATTTTTGATTCCACGGCCCTGGATGGTAGATTTGTTTTTACTGTTAAAGAATGTACGGCACTTCCACACCTGAAAAGCTACAAGATCCATTACAGTTCTCTTACATCCAGCCAAGGATAAAGAACAAATGAGTGTATACACAGACACATCGCGATTCGATTAAGCAATGTTAAACAAAGTCTCATTCTCCAGAACATGGCAGAAAAGCCAGCGCTAGGTTTAGAATAATGAGCGTGAAGTTAGATTGGATGAAACAGGGGAGCTGTGCTAGCACAATCCTCTGGCTGTTGGCAAAGCCCGCTGCTCCAGATGGACTAATCACGCTTGTTCAAGGCCATCCACTGGTCTGGAAGGCCTCGGTCTGCTCTGCGTCTGTTCCAGCTAGACAGACAACTCAGTGCTGCTCAGTGTTAGCAAGCCACAAGCGGGGCCAGCCTTGCCCCCAAAAAGGATGAGGCTTTGCCCTTAAGCCCCACAGGTTGGTTTTGGCATAATGATAGGTGACGTGGGGAGATAGTTGCGAGGAAGTGACAGATAGATTCAAGATGGTGTTAAAACATCAAACGCAAGATAAACAGATGGAGGGCTGAGGCCGGGATCATGGGTTAGTAGCACCACTATGTGGATAGAAGGGAGGGAAATGATTTTTCCATGTCCCACTGTTTCATTATTCCCAGATGCTTCAGGTAATCTGAACTGAAATAATGGGAGCTGGAATGATCAGCTAGCAACAGGGACGCTGATTATCCTGAAGCATGAAAAAAAAACAAAAAAAAACATGGAGCTTCGTTGCAGATGGGAATAAAAGTTTAGCATTACTGTGGGATTGTCTCACTGTATGGGGTGCATGAGTGTAAGAATATGTTGGTGTGTGATATTATCGGATAGGTCTTCACAAGTTGAAACAAAATCAAGACTGTGATGACACATTTCATTCATAGGATGGAGGTATTTGAGTCCATTGGCAGAGGGAGCTTTAGGGACCTCTCCAGTGACATAAAACGACCTCATTAAGTAACACAGACATCCTTTCACCTGGAACAGAGTTCAAAGTCTAATGTGTCCCTTAGTTCAAGTCCCAATGTCACACCAACTCCCTGTCACCAGTGGATTCTCTTGCAGACAGGCGAGCACAGAGAAACTGCAGATGACCTGGCATGAAGGCCCAACAATGTGCAAAGAACTCAAGATTTCCACTCATCCGGTGCATTTAGTCTCACAGACAGACAGCACAGTGGAAATCACAGGGTATAATTCACACACTTCACCTAATAAGTCTTAATGTTAATGAGACTTGATGACCTTCCAGCAAGCGCAATTGAAGCTTAATTGTTCTTTAATTATGTTTAACCAAACCAAAGCAAACATTCATCAGACTTCTTGAAACCATGCCGTGCAGTATATAGCTGTAGTACATCAGATCTCTGAGCAACTTTTTGGTGGCTTGCATAATAAAGGAAAGACAAAGAGAGATGGTGTGTATACTGACAGAAAAGAAAAAATGAGCGTGTACTCAAATGAAATAAAAAAAGTGAACTTACAGTCGAGACAGGGCAGGGTTCTTCTGAAACAGCAGCTCAGGAAGCTGCTGCAGTTGATTACGGTTCAGTCGCCTGCGGCAGGGAAAACATATGATCAACCAGTGAGTTTGTGTGTGTGTCTATGCATGTGTGCCCTTGAGTGTGTAGGCTGTGAATAATTTCTGCTAGCTGCCGTAGAATCGGCTTAGCCACAGGCTATTGTGTTTCACTGTGCTCAGAATGTCACATAAATATCCAGCTGAAAGTTCAGGGGAATTAAACTGCTAGTGAGAGACAGAGCCGTAAATTATCTCCGCACAGTTAAATTACAATGCTGCGCTTAGTAAAATTCAGCGCTCTCGTGACTTTCCCAGAGTAACGGAATAGCAACATTCCCATTTAAACAAGTGAATTACATCCACCAGTTATCTGAACAGGAACAGATTTTATCTGGGAAAAACTATCAAAACAAGATGTTTCTAAATAAAATTAAGAGAAATGGATGAGCCTATTCAAGCCCAAGGAAGCACTGACAGGAATGGTGGTTGGCAACAGACTCCATGTCGAACAACTAACGTCCAAGACTGGCAGGCTTTATTCAAATACAACAATTAAGTCAATGAGGAACAGACTGTTGCTAATCTGTTGGAAACCACAACTCTCTTCCCTCTGAATGGCCCATTGGAGGCACATGGGAGTGAATGCAGCGGCTGTGGCACAGAGAGGCTACAAATCTGTAAGGCAGGCCGCTGCCATGCCTTCAGACACATTCAGACAGATGTTGGGACCTGTGCCACTCACTGTATACACTAAGAAGAGCGCTTGGCCAGCTGAGGTGGAGATTTAGTGCGTAATGGGCATTAATGGTCTGCTGCTGCTCTGTTCACACTGAACTGTACCTGCTGGTGGGTAAGTGGCTTTTAAACATTAGAGAAACGAGCCGCTTAATTTCCACATTGGTCTGGCACATGGATATGTCTACCCAATGTTTGGGATCAGTTGAATACAGTGGAGGAGGGAAGGCGAGTTGTTACACGGCCTCCAGTATGGTAATGTAAATTGTTAATGTGGGTTTCAGATCAGGGGAAAGTTAACCACTATGTGTGCATGACGGCATGTGTCCATAAAATCATCTGCTGTGCAGGTTTCCATGCGGGTAGCACTATTGATTTGCTAATGAGCTGGTTGAGGTGTGGTTGACCGTGTTTGTCTGTGTGTTTTCCCAGCCAGTTTACAAGCTGCCGAGGAGTCCTGGTGCTGTCCAGATGAGCCAGGGTCTGCGGTGGGGGAGGCCTCTTAAGCCCACACATCCCACCGAGGGCATTCCTGTCAGGCAAAGCTAATAAAAAAATACTCCCAGCCCACGCTGTACCCTCTCAGCACCATCCGACCACAATGAAATGACAGGGAAGTGCCTCACACTTGATACACCATTTACAGTCAGTTCCTCCTGTTAGGCTCATTACACTCAACTAATACAAGAGCTGAATAGAGATCAGTACGATTTGAAGTTCAAGTTTAGCAGAGAAATAAAAATGTGTTATTGCTGGTCAGCCTTGGTTGTACTCACAGTCTCTCCAGCTCCTTCATGTCATCAAAAGCCCCACGCTCGATCACAGTAATCTGATTCTCCATCAGCTGCCTGCAGAGAGAGAGAGAGAGAACAGACAGAGAGCCTTAGAAACTACATGATACAGTGTGGCTTTGACTTTTTTTACGAGTCTGTAGACGGTCACTCAGGCTTTAACAAAGTATAGGGGGCTTTGGGGTTTGGGTGGCAAGACTTCTTGCAGTATGTATATTCAAGCTGTGTGCAGTATATTCAACACCTATTTCTCTATTTCTCTCTCTCTCTCTCTCTCTCTCTCTCTCTCTTGCACACACACGCACGCACGCACGCACGCACGCACGCACACACACACACACACACACACACACACACACACACACACAGAGAGAGAGGGGCAGTGGTGTGGACTGAGGGCACAGTGTGGAATCTTGGCAAAAGACGCAGGGATAGCAGCCAGGAAAGTTTCCAAGGTGGCTCAGAAAGTGTGGGTCCGGGCTCTGGTGTGGTCCACTGGGTGTAGCGGCTGGGCGGAGACGAGACGAAAGGTAGGCAGGGGGTCAGAAAGTGTTAGAGAGGAAACTAATGTGGGCTCCAAGGTTTTTACAATTGGCACAATCAAAGGAAAGTAGGTTCTGTGTGTGTGTGTGTGTGTGTGTGTGTGTGTGTGTGTGTGTGTGTGTACCTGTTGGATAGCATAGTTGGAGAGTATCAGAGTTGCAGGCACTACATCAAGGCTATTAGTCGAACACAAACAAACATGGATGCACACAAATATACAGTACACACACACAAACACACACACACACACACATGCAGGAACACTTCCTTTCCCCACCTACACTGCCAAAGCTAACGCACAAAAAAGAGGCTTGGATGGTTTTGGAAGTGTTACAATAACACAAGGTCAGGAAGGAGAGAAAAGTGTCCAGCAGCTTTAGAAGCAACAAGAGCTTTCCTTCATTACGTATACAACTGTTCTGTGTTGAAGGCAACCTCTCATGTCTCCTGTGAGGCCACGCCGCGCTGCAGCTCAGCAGTCTGGGCCTCCTCCCCATCGAATATAAATGCTAATCACTGTTCGCACTCCATAAACATAGAGAGAAAAGTGCAATTCACCTCCGATCTCTTTCTCATGAATTTAGATGGAAGTGAAAAAAAATTGTGATGAGTACTTCTGAATTGAGAAAAGTTTTTTGCAGACAGTCTGAGGGCATGTAGCCTTCAATTTCTGTGATCTATTTTTCCAAAGATTGTTCCTCTATTGTTCTGCATCTCCCCACACAGACACAGACACATACACACACACACACACACACACTGCTGATCTAGACCAGCCAAGCACCCAGTGCCAGATGAATGATGGTAAATCAGCTGTGTTGATTTTAGACTGACAGGATGGATGGCAGCTGACTGTAAAGATAAACCTCTGTTCCTGTTTGGCTCCTTCTGAGGGTTGCCCCGGGGTCAGCAGGATCAGAGGTCGACCTGCTGTTAGTCTTGTGGCTGTTGCCCCAGAAAGATCAGACCCAATACACAGAGACAGACTTTTGCGCATGCAGACATGCCATGCACCCACACCATTCTAATCATGCATCATGTATATGGTTGGCTGACATTGCAGAAAGAGAGTGTGTTACATGTAGCGCAGTGGTGGTGGTGGTGTGAGAGAATCAGGCTTTTACAGCAAGGGAAGTTCTGTTTTTAGTACCCCTGCAAGGAGTTGTTTCCTTCTTACTTGCTAGTGACAAGCTGGCGACATGAAGGCATTTAACCTCGGCGTGGGGGTAGAAGATGGTGCAGAAAAGGAGGCATGCATGGGAAGACGAGAGGGGACAAGGAGCTGTGGGAGCAAAGGAGAAAAAGAAAAGGGGGGAGCAGGGGGATGGGCGAGTAACGATGAGGCTTGAAAATAGTCGGGCTTTGCTGTGTAGCAGGAATTATGTGCAGCTCGTGTTACATTTAAAACGTGTTCAGGTCTACACAGCTTCCCCTCTGGCAGCGTTTTTATCACCTATGGCACTACACACAAGTGTGCGCGCACACATATAGACACTTGTGCAACTACTTTAAGTCACAAGTGCTTTTTAATTTCAACATGGAGGGAGTCAATGACTTCACCTGAATATGTTAACTGTGTTGAGAGCCTATTTAGGACTTGCGCTTGTGTACACATTACATGTTGATGTGTGGGAACAGAGGGCAAGTGAGTGTGTGTGTGTCTAAGGGACAATAAGTGCTACTACAACAGACAGAATACAGTAAGAGAGAAGTCCATTACATCACTAGTTGCAGTCACTCAGCAGCTTAATGTACTCCTGAGTAGGACTCTTGACAGAAGCATCTCCGCTTCGCTGGGTTTATGCTAATTTGAGCAGCAAGTCTGTACAACTTGTGAACTGCAAGCTCTGGTACGCACGAACAGATAAACTCTGACACTGACATGCACCACAGATACATATACAAACATCTCATCATCACACATCAACAGGAAGGCAAGTACTTACAGAACTCGGAGGTACTTGAGTCCAGCAAAGTCACTCTTGGTGATGCGTGTGAGGTTATTTCCATTCAGCTCCCTGCGAAGACAGACACGCAAATTTGTATGAATAATTCACCTTTACTCTCCCTCTGGACCTGTTCAGCCTGATGACAAAAGGAGCAGACGGTGGCATGGAGGCATCTTTGTCTACTGATACCTGAGACAAATTCTTATCTGCAGTTTTGCAACACACACGACCACACATTTCACGCACACATGGTGCACACACACAGTGCCCCAAGCTGTTTGTTAAATTATAGTAGTGGTGTAATGTATGCTGAGAATGTCTGTAATTGCTGGTGTTTATATGAAATGAAAATTGCTTCAAATGTGATGTCAAATGTAACATACATTGCAGAGTAGAACCAGAATCAGGTTGTGTCAAAGGGAAGTTTGTGAGGTTAGTTGTGATACCACTGGGAGATATTAAGAAGTCCTATTAAAATGGAAGCCACATTTGAGCTGCCTGTTTGTCTTTCTATCCCCCCCTCACTCCCCCCCCTCTGTCTGCCACGTCCTTCTACTATTGGTGAGGATTAGCAGGAGCCAGCGGAGGGGATTTGGGTAGGGCCACAAGGCCAGAAAGCTAAGTGCTGTGGATATAATGGGAGCAGCCTCCCTGCTGAGAGCTGGCCATCACTGTAAAAGAAGGGAGAGACAAAATAGCAGAAAAGGAGAGGTTTTGAATTTACTTTTGGACTCTAACAAGTTATCCATCATCTAACGGCTGACAATAATTGTTGTGTTTTCGATAACTCCAGTGGCAGCATGCTGAACTTGACGGTGTCACCCGCAGTGGTTTGGTGGATTCAGTTACCTCTGCTGATATAAGAAAGTATTGTATTATTTCTTTGCAGAACACTGTGGAAGATTCATATGTAACCTCAGTAGCAGATTGTATTCTCATGACAGAGGGAAAAGAAAGCAGGAAAAGCACGCCAACCATACAAGCCACCCAGGTGGGGAGCGAAATCAAAATATGCTGAGTTCCTCTGTGCTACTGCACTTTCTAAGCATTATGGGTCCACCCTACCCTGACCTCCCCAACCCCCCACCACAAAGCACAACCAAAAAACTGGTTCCAAATCTACGCCCAAAGCACTGGTCTCTCTCCCTCAGTCACTCTCTCCTTCTTTCGTCTAATGACCACTCCAGGGACTGTAGCGCTATGCAGTACGAAAGAGAACGGTCATTATAGACAGATGGTGTGTGTGTGTGTGTGTGTATATGCGCGCATGTGTACACAGGTGCATCGACAGGCCAAGCGACAGGGCCACGGGAAATAAATAATGGACTGGGCTTCATTAGCCTGGGCTCCGATGCACACACATGTGGTGCTCATTACAGGTGCTTACGCAGATAGGCACACACATACAACCCACACACACGCTTCTGGATTTCCAGTGTCTTATCTTCAGGGTGGTCACCCCTGATGACACCCGGAGGACATTAAAGAAGGTGGAAGATAGAAGGAGAGAAAGAGATGGTTAAAGTGAGGGATGGCAGGGGAAAATATGTGGGAAAAATGACTCACACGTAAACAAGTGAAACCACACTTTTCTCCTGCAGCAATGAAGTCTTGCTTTATCCTGTAAAAAGAGACATGCCATAGTTTCAGCGTGTACACCAGGGCTGGGTAATCAACGCTGTTCTGCAACAACATCTCTAAGTATTTTGCTGGTCGAGATCTTGTAGCTGAACTAATTTTGCTTTTCCTGAAAACGCCCCCAGGAGGATGCTGCAATATCCTGTCGTAAGAGCCCATCTTAAAAACCACATTGGCACCTGTTCAGCAGTGCTGTGACATTTAGGCAATGCTCAAATGTCAGCAGCATCCTGTGAAGTTTAAACTAGTCAGGATCCACACTGTTTATGACATACTCTGACCTTTTCCACTGGCATTTTGCAAAAGAAACCGTGCAATGTTTTCAAGTCTTCGAAAATTGCCCAGGTGATAATCAGGTCCCTGAAAATTTCCCAGGTAATAACATTCTCGCTGTAGCTCATTTGATTGTTGCTGAGCTGTAAATGGCACATCTATGAAATTCACTGTCTCAAGCATGCATTTTGCATAAAAAGGGAACTCTTCCTAAGGCGGACACTTCACGCTTTATGATAAGAGCACATGGGTCATATATATACTGCTACAGATTCTGTTGTTTGACCCATCTGACGATGTCTGCTGACCGGAGAGTTTTCTTTCTCTGGGGGAACTTGCCAAGTCACTCCCTTGTCTGCGAGGATGCTCTGTTGCTGTGGTTGGTGGAAAGTAGCTGGGATTCACATCAGCTTTAGCCCGGGAAGTTCACTTTTGCATGTGCATGCACACGTACAGAAAATAGTGGTATGCAAATGACATGGTCAGTGAACATTGCTGCTGAGTTCTGCATGGATGAACAAATCTAGGTGAACCCACAACTTGAATAAAGAAAGCTAGGGGAATATGGACTCTAGACATGCGTACAGTCTGGAGTCTGGAGTCAGGGGTGCTCATCTCTGTGCTGATTTCACATCAAGTAAGGGCACTGTAATATATGGTGTCACTGGCTCAAAGAAAAATCTGCTGTTTATTAGCTACATTATCAGTCACTGCTATTTTGCTTTGTTTTACAATCAAAGGGAGCTAGGAAATGGCTCTTGGCACAGCAGCAAAGGCACGCTCACTCCTTTCATATACACATGTTTTGTAGTACTGACTTTGTGAAGGTTTTCACATTACAGTCCTTCAGTATTACTTTGGAGGCTGAAAATTATTAGGTATCATTCCCAGCTCCTACAGCGAAGGATTTCCACCTCCAACTGCTTCAGTCAAATCCGTTCCATCCTCTGGAAACTCTGTAAAGATCCCCAGTGCTGACACACTTCCTGGAGAGCAAGTGGATTTATGACATCACTATCTAATCCTTTTTCATCCTCCCTCCCAAGCTGATTGATGCCTGAGAGTACTTCCTGGTGCACCTTCCCTTGGGTGGACACGCGGCAGCTATGCTCCACCGCTCTACATCTCTATAATTCAAAGGGGCTCAGAGCGCTGCTACAATGCTGAAAAACTCATTATGTTTATTTCTGCCAGCTGCTGGGGTCCCTGGGCTGAGGGGGACCTGGTTCGAATTGAGCAACATTACATAAAAATGAAGCCCGGAGAGTAGAGGGAGGATAAGCAAACACACTGCCTCGCTAAAGCCTGCGCGCAGATACACTCACGCAGATAGAAATATCCACATGTACTCCGTTTTTTACACACATACACAAAGACCATAAAAATATACTGTATCAAGGAATGCACACAAGCCCACCTACTGGGATGTACACAAACAGTGCCCGTGGGAGAGGCAATTGTGTTCTGTTGGGAGCTCATCAGAGCAAAAGAACATAATGGTAACGAGAGAAACTACTGCCGGCTGTACAGCTTTTCACCAACATTATCGATTTATGCAGAGACACTGCAGAACTGAAATGAATACAGATGCAGTGGGACAGTGAGGGCCAGCAGACAAGTCAAAATGATGAGTCAGTTACTTACATAATAAAATAAGCCAAACCACTCAATATAAAGTTCTCACATCTCAAGAGTTTTGTCAAAGCTCTCTGTTTTTAATTGATCAGCGATACTGCTGCCACACTGGATTCTAGGATTGAGAGAGCATTGTGCTCACACTCTCTTTCTGCCATGTACAGGAAAATGTGTCCCAATAATGAGGTTAGACATGACTCACAAAGATGGGCCACTGTTGGTGCCAATCTTCAGTTTAATATTCTTATGCTTGTAGCCACAAAAGAACTGGCACTGCAAAACTTAGTCACAGGCAAGACAAGAAACTCTTAACTCTCACCACCCTCTATTCCTATCAAAGCACTCACGGCCATGATTCACCCCCTATACCGTTGCTTATTTTCTTTCAGCATGCAGTCGAGCAAGGACAAACTGAAATGGCAACATGATAATCCTTCATCCAGAGGTCAAACTGGACATTGGTGAGTCTTGCTATATTGCAGGTCAACTCAACTGGACTTCACACGAGGCCTACATGTAAGGATTTTGACTGGAAGTAAATGCATCTTGTCCCAAAATCTTTGAAATGAGATTTAAATGACTTATTAAAAGGTTCTTATTTCTTTTGCAGTGCAGCCATTCTGTATCGCTGCTGTCAGCACCACAGGACCATTTGTCCTGAACAGCTTTAGCCTGGCAGGGAAGACAGAAGCCAGCTGATTGAGGATCGGTGGCAGGGCGCTGCCCATACTCCTCACTGTGGAAACAATCTGACGACCAGAAGCCTGAGGTCCTGCACAGCCCAAGCATGGATGCTCATTAACCACAATCACACACTGATAATGCTATTTGACCAGATCAGCACGCGCTCTCCCTAATGAATGGGCCGAACAGGTTGAGAAGCTGCCAAAGAGCGAAGCATTCCTCCTCCTCCAGACTCTACAACATATGGACGTGACAGCCGTGAAACACACAGGAGGAGAGAAAGGGAGGAAAAAAAAAAAAAGATAGAGTCACTGAGACACAGAAAAAAGACAGAGCTACTCTGACAGTGTTGTTAGCTGCCTAAAAGTGACAGAGTGGAGAAGTGTGGTGGAGTGTTGCGAGTAGCCGGGGAGCTGTGAAGAGCTGACGAGCCGTCTGGGAGACGTCAGTGAAGACATGAGGCCTCGACGGCTGGTAGAGAACAAGGAGAAAGTGGCCTATATACTAGTTGGTCCAACAGGACCAGGCAGTACCATCCGGGCTCACAGAGACAGAGAGAGAGAGAGAGAGAGAGAGAGAGAGAGAGAGAGAGAGAGCAGACCACCATGACCAAAACAACACACTCTTAAACCCAACTAGAACGCTTCTATCCACACCAAGAGGTCAGATTTCTGCTCAGCTTGAACAAAACATTCCCTCTGCACTGAAATGTGGCTTTCAGACGTGCAGTTAAGGCCCTCAACTGTACATTTTTAGTATGTGTGTGTGTGTTTGTGCCAGCGAGCGTCTACGTGTGTGTGTTCAGTTTGGAAAGACTATGTCTGAGAGTGTTTTCCCGG